ATAATAAACATCGAACCCTTTTTTTATATCCTGCAATTCCAAACATTCCATAGAAAAACAACCGTTTTAAAATTTATATGTTTTTGTAATCTTACGGTCCTTCATTCCTAACAGTACGCTAACCTGAACTGTCCCGTTTTTATTATCGTGACATCGCCCTTCAAAAGTTCTCAAATGATGATAAAAACCTATACATTTATAAGTATATTTAATAGTATAATATATAGTTTAATCACTACAACACTATATAAAACTATACATTTATAGTTCGTCAATGACACTTGGTATCAGGATTGCGTTCGCCTGACATTGCTTTAACTTTTGATAACGACAAGATTGGTACAAGGAATCTTGTTCGTTTTGTGTCAATTTGTTGAATATACAAAAATGATGAAGTTTTAATTGAATCTAGTGTCATATTCTGTTTAGTATGTAGCGTCTCAATGAAACACAATTCAAAGGATTTAATACTGGGATCCGTTCAGAAATCTGGGGGTTTCAAGATTCTGATGTTCATTATCTTTATTGTATAGAAGTACCCTTAACCGATGAGCATGCATGAAAATACTGATGACTGTTGATGAAGCGAAAGAGGTGTGTAAGAATCGTAGCATTGGCGTTCCATAGTTTGCGTTCCATGGGAGAAAGACGTGAAGCTATGTATGTAAAGGAGTATGCAAGTACACTGGTTGAACTATACAGTAAGTAATATTTTAGTGTCGAAGTAGTGCTCCTTCGTTGAGGACCAAGACCAAGAAGTTTATTTGCAATAATATTTTTTTTATTTTTTTATAACACATTTCTATAATTCTTACTGTAGGTACTTACGATTCAAAGATCTCTCAATAAGTTTTTATAATAAATGTCGTGAGTGAGACATACTAACTTAAACTAAAAATCGCGGGTTACTCACGTGAGTATATTGACTAGTAGAGCTTTTCTCAATACGCCACTTAATGCCGCTGTACAATGTAACACCAACTTTTCACTATTTGTGTTATAAGTATGAGTTTCATGTAATAGGGGATGAGCCTTTTGCCATATATCGGGCTCAATTTTGGACACCGTGCTACCACTGAGAGTTTTGTTAAAAACCCAGTAATATTTTTGCCCGACCCGGAAATCGAAGCCGAGACCCCTTCCCTGGCAGTCGCACTTGCGACCACTCGGCCAACGAGGCATCCTATGCGTATAAAGTAAGTATATCGTAATTACTGTCAAAAAGATAAATGCTAGGAACGAAATATACCTACTTTATTTCAATCTTAGTTTTGCCTTAACAAGCCCAAATCCTTTCATTTGGCCCTGCTCAAATACAGGTCAGACAGAGATATGAAACTACGTAATACACACGAGCCCAATACTTCGACAGATAATAGTAGTTATTAATAAATTAATGAGCGAACGCGGTGATACTGGGATACTTGCAATTATAGCGATAGGCACGGCCTTGGCTGATTTCACTTATCTAGCGAATTTTAAATTGTGAGGTTTGGTCCTACTGTTCGCGGTATAATTTTAAACTTCCCAAATCTAATAATCTAGGAAACATTTTGCAGTTGTTTTTTTTAATGTACTGTATTGTCTATGTAAAGATATGAGTGATGAATTTGTAGATTGAATTCGTTCCATGGCGAATACAAAGATTTAGTCGAATCTGGTTTAGTCTTAGTTTTAGATTCCAAAATAACTAGGAAAAAAGACTGTTGATGGTAGTTCATTAACAATCGTCTTTTTATATTAAATATTTATGTATTTATGACTATTTAATTCTTAGAATGTTTAGCTTCAAAAAGACTGCCTCGTTGGCCGAGTGGTCGCATGTGCGACTGCCAGGCAAGGGGTATCGGGTTCGATTCCCGGGTCGGGCAAAGTATTTCTGGGTTTTAAAAAAAATGTCAGTAGTAGCACGGAGTCTGGAATTGCGCCCGGTATATGGCAATAGGCTCACCCCCTATTACATGGGACTCATAACATAAATAGTGAAAAGTGGGTGTTACTTCTGTGTGCACCTCTGCCTGCCCCTTCGGAGATAAAAAGGCGTGATGTTATGTTATGTTAATGTTTAGCTTAAGGCTTATTTTTGCCATAGAATCTAAAGAGAACATTCTCTATTGTCCTTCGTCTCTGCTGCTCCTCTGAGCAGTGATGATGATAAGAATATCAAAAGCCCCCACCTGAAGTAATACATTTTCATATTTTCACTGTCCGCTCTTGTCTCAAACTCGAACCTGTACCTAGCAACAGATTTTTCACAATATGTGTAGACTGATACAGGTTCGTATCTGTCTGCAACCTGCATCATATACATATATACCTTACGTAACAAACACGAACTGGTCCAATTTAGTACCAGACCGGTCTTCGTCGAACAAGTAATATTGAAATTTGAAAGTTTTCCGACTTTATATTTATTTATAATTTCATGTACCTACACCACACAGACGATATTACAAAGGACGACACATTACAAGTATGAGGTACATAGGTACTGCATATCCTTTAAGAGATTTCTTCCTGCAGACCTGCGACAGGAAAAGGAAATTAAATATAAGACACAGTGTAAATGATACATGCAACAGATACAAAACAAAATAAAATAACTGAAAGAACTTAAAACTAAAATGACCGAAATATAATAAAATTATAACAAAAATAATAAATAAAATAATTAGAAATATATAATAACGATATAGATGTATATTAAAACTTTCCTGAGACATAAATTAATTATTATGTTTTCGGCTTACTCAAGGAATGTTGTGGAATGCTGCTCAGGAATATGAGCCTCTAGCATGGCTTGAAACTAGTCGAGTTACTCGTCGAATAGTTACGTGAGTAAGCTGAAAACATAATAATTAATTATTGGCTTAGTTTTACTCTTTAGGGTTTCACTTTTTCTGAGGAATAGACATTACTTTAAATAGGTTAATAGGTGATTCAAAACGCAGTCACATACTCTGAGCGTACATGAAGACCAAATTAAAACGACCTTTGCTAACAAGTAGGGGAAAACACAACATCAGAATACTTTAGACTTATTGATATATATTTTTTAAAGAATAAGCCGGTAATTTACCAGACGGATCACCTGATGGTAAGCAATCGGCACTGCCCATGGATACATGAAGCACCAGAGGCGTTACTGACCTTTTAGGGATTAGGAATTTGAGGATTGTTGGGGTATATTAGCGAAGGAGCTAATTGGGTCTCCGGTAACTTCACTCACATGACGAAACACAACGCAAGTGTTTTTTTTCGTCGTTTTCTGTGAGGCCGTGGTATCACTTCGGTCGAGCCGACCCATTCCTGCCAAAGCATGGTTCTCTTAAAATTATATGCACTATATCAGTTACGTATCGAAAAATATTACCTATTCACATGACCAAATCACACCGGTTTTACATTATCTATCTACGCTTACGTCAATTCCACTTTATTTACATTATGATACTAATGACCAGATTTACTGACCCTTAAACTAATGACTGATATACGCTGATATAGGCCTATGCAGATTGGATGCAGTTCCAAATAGTACCAGTCTAACAAGACCCCTGATTATAAATTAAAGTGTTATAAATAGAGGTCATAGTAGTCTGGTTTTTTGTGACCATTTAAAGAAGATATCTTTTTTGGAACTAAATGATTGTGGTCAGATGTCAGGGTTCGCTGTGCAGATATGAGCATGTCCTACCGCAAGCTTACAATGTTGCGCAAGGTGATTGATGATGCGATATAATTACATCAGTTTCATGATGTAAAAAAACTGCAATTTCCAAAATGAATGTGAAATGGAGACAATATTCATATAAAAGACAGACACATCAAAATAGGGTCAAAAGTGTTCGATATATCTTAGTCCCTATTTCATTAAGTGTAGCACATAATATCTTAGAAGTCTTTAATCAACATATCTATAAATTATTGGGTTTCATAGTAACAACATGTTTTCATTGTACACCACCCATTTTAATAGTTAATTTAGTGTCCAAAAGAATTTACTAAATGTAATTCCAATAAAGTGAACGTCAACTTAGAACTTTGTCTTTACAGTAAAATGATGGGGTCAGGCAAGTACCCGATTTATACATAAAATATTACCCATCGTCTCATCAAATTTACTGCTTCTTAACTTATTAGCTGTTGCTTAACCTGTCAACTAGGAACACCGCAATATAATCCCCAATCCGCTTATCAAGTATAGTCATTACTGCTTGATTGGTTAACTATAGGCCCATGTGAAAAACACCAACGTAACTTGACCCCTACCTTGCAACGAAACGTCATTTGTAATCAACTACACTAGAATATAACACACAATTTCCCCCAGATCAACTTAAATTAGCCGGCCTGCAAGAATGAAATGAAAAAGAATGAAACAAAAGCGTGTAATTTATGTGTAACTTTGAAGAATTCTTTAGAAAAATCTACTTGTCCTAAATACATTAATTACTTTTTGAAATTATGGTAATTTATTTGAATAGGCCTATCAGTACGAATTTCGACATTCTTTCGAAAGTTTTTCTGTTATTGTGGCATAATTTTATTTGGAGAACATCGCTATGGTAATTTTGGTCCTTCGGTACTTTTTTGGCTTTTCTTTGCCTTATCATCATTATTATCGAATCATTTTACTTATTATGGAAAATGTCTTTTAAATTTTATACCAATTTTAAGTATTAATTTGATCTCACCATCTAACACTGAGACGGACGACTGAATAAAGGTCTGTCGGACTAAACTAGAAATCATAAGAAGTCCTGTATTCAGACAGAAATGGAAGTCTGATGGCAGATATGGTGACGGTAATAATGCTACAATCTCAATACACACAGCAGCGACTGTCACAACCGAGGGCTGGGCTCGCCGTCATTGCAGCCGTAAGCTCGCTGTCATTGTCTTTGAGGAGTGGCTTGAATAAACAGACTAATTACTATAATCCTTCCATAATTATTTTCTTAGCAACCCTCCGCGTTTATGAATCTTAGTCATTCAAAATGTATGTAAGTACTACAAAGTATACTTAATGCATTTACGTATCCTTAATTATAATTCATCGTGCGTTCTATTCAGTAGGTTGGAGAAAGGAGGAAAATACCTACTATTAAATGGTTAAAATTTTCTGGTATACCATTTCTATGTATTAGATGATTCTTGGCTTCAAAGGCACAGATGCGATTGCTAAGCTTGAAGTTAAGCGTGAGTTGAATATCCGGTTCTAATAGGAGGTCTAGTCACAGTCAAAGCATTTATTTCAATTAAACCATAATTTGGTACTTTTGAAACGTCAACAAATACAAAATAAATAATAGTCTCAGTTAGTCCGTCAGTGAAGCTAGGTAAGCTAGGTGCTCATTCCAAAATGTAGATTAGAATGGAGAAGAACGAGCAAGAAACACCATGCGTTACTCTTTTAAAAAAGTATGTTCTACAATGTCTCTGATACATATTCCATTATTGTCCATATAACAATGCAAAGGCACGCTTGACGCTTTATACAAATCACAAAATTTACTAAAATAAAAAAAGTCTAGATGATGATGATGATGATGAAGAAGTAAATAGTCTGGTTTTGTTGTTAGAGCAAGGCAGAAATGTATTTTTTTTCTTGTGACATAATTGTCAATAGTTGGTATTTGGAATGGAGGCACCCTTTAAAATATCTATGGTTCTAGTAATTTACGTAAATTGCTAAAATAATGAACGTTCATAACTTTCGTGTGTTATCAAATTCTTTGTTATCTTTTTCGGCTTAGTCACGTAAGAAAAAACTTATTTTTATAATAAACTAGCTTCTACCCGCGACTTCGTACGCGTAATCCCATTTTTTCCCGTCCCCGTTCGTGATTTTCAGTAAACAGTAAAAAAAAAATTATTGGTTAAAAAGTATCCTATGTCGGTCTCCTGGCTCTAAGCTACCTCCCTACCAATTTTTAGCCAAATCTATTCTGCCGTTCTTGAGTTATAAGTGGTGTAGCTAACACGACTTTCTTTTATATATATAGATTATCTACCCAGTAGGCTGCGTGACATATCGCCGCGACCGCGCACGCTGCTTATGAGGACCCCTCTGTGGTTCGAAACTAGTAGAGCTTTTCTCAGTATATTCACGTAAGTAACCCGCAATTTTTAATTAAAAACGTATTCATTATTTAAGTAAAATTAAATAATTTTTCAAAATAAAGAAATGTGTTCAACGAATGTTCAAGACGTTTCACTTGGATAATTCCTCTTAGGGTTTTTGCTTTAAATACAAATGTAGGGACAAATTACGAAATGCCTTGGAATTACTTGAGTGTTCTATTTTAAGTGACACAAACAAATTCTTACATACAAATCTTTTCCTGACTCCCTCGTTGGCCGAGTGCTCGCAAGTGCGACTGCTGGGCATGGGGTCTCGGGTTCGATTCCCGGGTCGGGCGAAGTATTACTAGGTTTTTAAAAAATTCTCAGTTTCTCACGGAGTCTGGAATTGTGCCCGGTATATGGCAATAGGCTCACCCGCTATTACATGGAACTCATAACATAAATAGTGAAAAGTGGGTGTTGCATTGTACAGTGGCATAATATGCACCTCTTCCTACCCCTTCGGGGATAAAAGTATAGAGGTTGTTAGGAAAATGTACTATTAAAGAAATCCTCCTCTTCCTACCCCTTCGAGGTTAAAAGGCGTGATGTTATGTAATGTTAAATCTTTTCCTGACTTCTACTTATTTTACGAAGATCAGACATTTTAGTATTATGTTGCCATTACCTTTTCCTGAAAGTTAAATAAAAAATCTATGTCCATTTTCAAACAGTTATTTATATGATCTTCTTTAAGTACTATTCTTGAACTTAGCGTCTATTGATAAATTTTCATTTCGATCGAGCTATTGATTGACTGTACGGTTGGCGCGGTGGCTGGGCAACCGGCTATCGCTGCAACGTGCAGCAGGTACGATTCCCGCTTGGAGCAACTCTTTGTACACACAACATAACATCACGCCTTTTATCCCCGAAAGGGTAGGCAGAGGTGCACATTACGGCACTTAATGTACAATGTAACACCTACTTTTCACTCTATGTTATGAGTCCCATGTAATAGGGGGTGAGCTTATTGCCATATACCGAACACAATTCCAGACTCCGTGCTACTACTGAGATTTTTTTATAAAACCAAGTAATACTTTGCCCTGCCCGGGAATTGAACCCGAGACTTATTGCCCGGTAGTCGCAATTGCGAGCACTCGGCCAATGAAGCAGTCTCTTTGTGTGACCCACAGATTGTTGTTCCGGGTCTGGGTGTCATGTGTATGTGAACTTGTATGTTTGTAAACGCACCCACGACACAGGAGAAAAAAAAAGTGTGAAGTGATCTAAAAAAAAATTTTAGGCGGTCTCTCATACTACCACCAAGTAAAGGGCCTTCTTGATCATCTCCTATCCCATAAAAAAACAGATCATCTCTACAATTCCCTGACAGTAAAATACATGTAAGTATAGACCAATAGTTATGACCAAATAGAATAAATATTCACAGAACACTAAATTTCAACTAGTAATTTAGTTAGGAAACCTAACCCAAAATGACTTTGACCGGTGACATTTGGTGTAGTCGTTAACGAGACCTACTTTTAGGCAGTCTATACGTACCTAATGCCTTTATGTTCTAAAATACATTGTTGCATTATCACTCTTATGAAATTTATCTTATAGAAACTAATTACTTATTAATATATCTACAGTACAAGAGTGCTTGCTGATGAAAATTACATAAATGCTTTAAAAGTAAAAATCACACTATTGTTATAAACTTTAAAGTTTTTTGCTTAGACGTTTGTCGGTTAATAACGCTGGAAATACTGAACGGATTGTGAAGAAATTTGGTATACAGGCAAGGTATGGACTGACATAGGTGGTAGGATACTTTTTATCCCGATTAAATGCTCCAATGGGATTAAACAGTAATCATATTCTACGCAGACGAAGTCACGAATAACAGCTAGTAATATTATAAAAGTCACAAGTCTCATATAAACGAGCAAACTGATTTTATTGAGTTTAGATACAAAGATTGATTAAACGTGGAATGATTTGTCGTCGGCGGTATTTCCGAACCGATACGACCCCTAAACCGTCAAGAAAAGAGTGTACTCCTTTTTAAAAGGCCGGCAACGCACCTGTGGCTCCTCTGGTGTTGCGGGTGTCCATGGGCGGCGCTGATCGCTTACCATCAGGTGATCCGTCTGCTCGTTTGCCTCCTGTTCCATAAAAAAAACGTGGATTTGACCCAATTTTGATGAAATTTGGAATCTATGGCATTTCTGAACCGCAGAGGACTTAACGGGTTGCCAGGGCGCCAGCTCGAAGAGCAGGAATAGGATCGGGGTGGTTTATAGTCAGTAAGAGCCTGACACTCTCTCCCGCCTCGCTCAGGCGGGAGAGAGTCATTCGATGATATTTCCCCTTTAAAAAATGGCATTTCTGAAGTTAATTGTAAACTTTCAAACTTACATAATATGGGAAAATATTAGTTCACGTGTCTCAGATAAATCATCTCTGACTGACACCACTTCTTATCTTAAACCAAATAATAATTTGGACACAATAGACCAAAAAAATGACGATTTGCGCAAATGAACCAAATCTTGAGCTGTTAAAGAAATAATCATTGATACTTTGTTCTGGGGTTATCTATCATGTTATATGTTACACAAGTTGCCCTTCCGAGTTTCATTCACAAAATCAAAGTCACATTGGCCTTATCACCCAGTTTTATATATATAATTGTGTCATATAGATACAATAGGTATACGAACTTACTTGGGTTTGTCCGAACCGCCTTGTCTTATGTATCTATGTATGATTAATTTGTTTTTAAAAGAGTAATTGCTAATGTTTTTTTTTTGGAATATCCCAATTAATGTTGTTTTTTGAGAGATTCGGAGAAAATTTTGTATCTGTGTGTATAGCTGCTGTTCACGCTCTAGAGTGCTGTGACTAGGTGTCATGCTGTAATTAATAATAGCCTGTCCAATAAAGATAAATATAGTGGTAATTTTGTACCAATACGTTAATTGCATAATCATTTTCCTAAGACTTCCAAAAATATGGTCCTTTTACGCGCTGTAACTGAAGCTGTATGAAAAATTTCTATAGAATTTGCAACGCCATGGATAACAATAGTTATTTTTTTAGATCTATTTATTGCTATTATTACATAACATTAAACAATTTTAACACCCACTTTTAACCCATTTTTAGGCATCAAATGAAATCTACTGATAATATACGTACTCCAGAACATTCGCCCACTATTCCAGCAATCAGCTGACTGACTGACGCAAACCGCAAAGTGCCATAATTTAGGATCGAGCCTGATTATAATGTGCTGATAATAGGAACAATTGCGCAACACCCAATGACATTGAAATAATGCGTAATTCTTCGTGACCTGGTAATTTCGATGATAACTTGACTGGTACTATTATTTATCTCATTTCTCTTATCTGACACGACGACACATCTTTGCGAATGTCAGATGTTCTGCTTACCTAAGTTTTTGGACATATTATTATTAAAGGAGGTCTCTGTTCATAACTGGCCGTGTTCTGGATGGTGATGAAATATGTAGGTAATCTTTCGCCTCTACCTCATCTTTTTGGACGCATCGTATAGACCAAACGAGTAACCCGTGATCTCTATATGAATCTTGATTTTTGATGAGAAACTCCACAACAAATGTATAAACTTGGTTTATTTATTTTTTTTGAGGCAGAAAATCATCCAACGCCTTCTCCCGCTTTGGGTTTGACGGGAGGGAGTGTCAGACTCTTACTGACTAAGAACCACCCCGTTCTTATTCCTCCTACTCTCGGCAAACCGTTTGGCCTTCCGGGGCTCCGTATCGGGCATCAGTCAAACTGGGCCCCATCTGTGGTAGACCCTACAATACTTAAAGGGAACTTAAGATACTTTATCTTTGTAGAAAAATGCGTAATTTTATAATTTTGTAATGTTAAACATTGTCATGTCTGCCTACGTAATACAACATACGAAAGCAACTTTCTGATTGTGTTGATGCGTATTTCGTTTTGTTTATCATCTTTATCGACATTGTTATGAATATATTTACTAACATTATTATCATTTCTCTTTATCTCTTAATAGATTGCTAGATAGTGACTATAATCTACACTAGCGCCGCTCCGTAGCAATAAATTTAATCGCCATTTCACTTCGTCAAATTTTTCGCACAATCTGCTCGCTTTGTTAAGGCCGTTCCCTGTGAATACCAGTGTAGTGCTGGATAAAAAGTATTTAATAATCACAACCTGATAATGTACTAACTAAATACTTCTTTAAGCATGTTGACTCAATTTTCTAGAATTTCTGATTCTCTCTTCATTTAGGGGTTTGTACTCAAAACAGGTAAGGCAGCAAGGATGAATAAAAATAAAGATCTTATTGTCAGAATAGATGGTAACATTATCAACAGCGAAATTATTATCAATCCTTTCTGAGCGGCAATTTAAGTGAAAAATTATGATATTCTAATAATAGGAGAATCGTTCTAAATGCTCGCAGCCATCGCCATTAACGTGCAATAATGAGAATTGAAAGATGCCAGCAGGATTATTCAGATGTATGTCACACCCTCCACGGCAGCCCCGTTACATATATTTCATGGTGTTTTACTTGAATTACCATAATGTCCCACGATCCATTGAAGGTGTAATAATAGAATTTTTCGTGATTTATAATGTGACATGGATGTGGGTGGAAATTGACTGTTCTCAATGCTTGTGGGGGAAATTTTCCATAAAGAGGGTTTTTGATTCATGGCGCTGCTACTGCTGTTTTTTTTTTGCTTGTAGTAGAGTTGATAAGTTATGGTGGTCTTCATGGTAAATGTGTGTATCTGTTTTGTAAGAAATTTAGAAGTTAGTACAATGAGCTTTCTTGTATTTTTTTTGAGGGGGGAAAATCATCTAATGACTGCTCCCGCCTGGGTGAGGCGGGAGGGAGTGCCAGACTCTTACTGACTAAAAACCACCCCGTTCCTTCTCCTGCACGTCGAGCCAGAGCTCCAGTAACCCGCCGGTTTTTTGTATAGGATCTTGTTTACGACCTATCAGCTAATCTGAATCTATCTGATATAATAAATCTCAGTGATGAGGTGGACTGTTGAGGTGTTTAGTTTCCTTAAAGTTATTTCCTTTTGTTACAGATTTACAAAGGCCTCGATGTCGTGACTGCGAAAGCCTCCGCCAAAGAACGAGAGATGGCGCCACACCATCTCCTGGACATTCTGGAGCCACATCAGATGTTCACAGTCGTAGACTTTAGAAACAGAGCACTTAAGATTGTATCCTTTTTTAAATGAAATTAAGGAGATTGCGCAGTGATTTGTGTCCTTCGTGCTACCAAGATGAATTTAAATACTATTATTTTTGTATACAAGAATGAATGTAAGTGCCTATTGGATCATTGCACATTTTATCTCTTTTTGCATTTTTGAATTAGGAATATTTTTTTCTTCTCTTTGTATCTTGATGAAATACTTACAGATTGTTCTACTATGCTCAATAACCTTTATGTCTCCGTGATCTCATCGCTTATCAAATCCTACTTGTTAATGTTTCCCGCGAATAGGACTGTAGTTTTTACAGTTCTATTTAGTGTAGTATCTACAAAAAAATAATTTGCAAAATTCTCAGCTTCCATCTAGCTGTATAGGTGTAATTTGTATTATTAAGGAGAAGTAATAGTTGCATTTGATGGGCCATTGCATGAACTTAAAGTAGATGGACTGCAGTTAAGTTTTAACGACTCGGGAAGTAACTCCTACAGCTATTATGAGGACAATTATACCACTTGCATTTAATAAATCCTGGTTCACAATAGTTTCGTTGCAAATGACGCGAAATAAAATTGAAGTTTATTTAGTTCCCGTGGGATTTTTTGATCTTGCTTATACATATGTATGTTACAAGTGGAAAATTGAAGACGTTTGTGGATGAATGGGTTAATTTTTTTATGGGATAAGCCGGTAAACGAGCAGTCGGATCACCTGATGGTAAGCAATCGGTGCCCCCATGGACCTAAACCACCAGAGTCGTTACAAGTGCGTTACCGGACTTTTGGGAATTGGGAATTTGAGGATTGTGGGGAATTCGGGGATTGGGGAGACTAGGGAGGGAGGTTATTGGGCCTCTGGTAACCTCACTCACACAACGCAAGTGTGGTTTCACGTCGGTTTTCTGTGAGGCCGTGGTATCGCTCCGGTGGAGCCGCCCATTCTTGGTGATGATGATATGATATTCAACCACACTATAATGTCTGAATAGATTTAAATAAAATTTGGTACAAAGTAGAATAGTACATAAGCTTCAGCTTCTACTAATTCAGAAAATGTAATATGGTTCCTTGGGGGTACGTCAATACTTATAGAGGGACTATAGAGTATAGGTATCTTCTTCAATTTTACTAAAATCTTTTGCGAAAATTTAATAAACCCTAAAACATACTACACAAGCTAAAGCCGTAACATACGGTAGGAATTTAAATTTGACCATCAATTTCACGTCTATATGACCTACAACTTTGTAAAGAACATTAAATTTGTTTAAATATGTGCTCACAGTTACTGAATCGTTCAACAATTTCACATGTACCTCTATACTATCCCATACAATATGGTATTAATTTAGCAAATATTGAGTTTCAACATTTATAGGTTAAAAAGGTTTTTTGTTGCTAACGACTGTTTCTAGGGCAATATGATTATGTAGATTTTTCGTTGATAATGTAACAATTTTCATAAATTACACGTGTTTAAGGGTATGATAACGCCTTTGTTTTGTATTCTACAAGTCTTGTTAGATTATGTTTTGAATTATGATTCGCGAGTAACGTATTCTACATGTCAGATACATGACATGGAACTTTTTTATTAAGAACTTCGTTAATCATTTTGTACTGTATACTAATTGTATTAATAATTAATTTGTCTTCTACAAGTGTTTAAATACTAAATAGAGAAATGTGTATTGAAATCATTACAATTCAACAAAGCAAAAACAATAACAGTGCGTGTGAAAGGGAAACTTATCTAGAATATCAGCTGGGTGCCGCAAGGGTCAACTGCAACACTAATAGACGTGTAGGCGTAAAACACGTCACTGGCAGTATTGCGGAGCCTAATTTAGTCATACTAGACTCAAATAATGTAGTAACTATGACTCATGCTAAGCTTGAACCGTTCACTTAAGAACCTAACGAACTTAACGCAAAGATGCTCAATAATTTGACACTAATTTACTCATCTATGCAAAAACAAAAATATTATTAAATATTGAACTTTATACTGCAGTTAATAATAATTAGAGGTAGAAAGGTGTAAATGTATGATTAAAGTTAGATTTTAGTTTTAGAAACAAAAGCAGCTAAAACAGTGATTAATACCATTGTTACATAATTGGGTGCAAAGAGCGCAATAAAGTACGTGAGAAACTATCATAAAAGCGTTAAGTTTAATTTCAATTTTGCTGTGATTGTTTCTCAACAAGTAACTGCCATTATTGTATTCGATTTTAGTGGCGATAGTTGAATAGTTCGACAAGTTGTTTGATGAAGATCTTCAAATATTCCAAAGCATATGAAAAATTCGTTGATCAAACCGTAGTAGTGCCGGTCACCTCTGACAAGTATTTGAAAGGTTTACCTTCTTTCGCGTCTCGGCCATTGACCACATAATCCTCTTATGTTGACCAAAGTAGCTTACACATTTAGTACATCGTCATGTCTGTATTATAAGTATGTACCCATGTACTCTGCTAACGAGCAATTTCGTCATTCAAAAGTGAATATTGGGCTATTGGAGGTACCGTTCCTTCGATTTGGTTTGACTTGATGATCAAAAGATTGATTGTTACTATATTATTTTTATTAATGTGGTTTTCCTCGTCTGTTTAGTATTAGTTATCAACGGTTTTTGCTTTACCTATGTTATTATTTAGCGGTACGTTGGTGGTCTTTGTGAGCTGAGTTCTAAGATGTCGAAAATCTACTTCAATGGTATTCCGAACTTCGTAGTTGCTTCTGGATTTTTAATTATCGCTAGTGATTTATGATTACACTGTTTATGTATGTCATTAGATTTAAGTAGTTCCCTAATTGTCGTTTTAATTAGTTCTCATTAAAATTATAGACCCGTCGAAAGTAATGAAGATCAACTTAGATAACACTTGTTTGAATTCCATCAATCTGATACGTTCGCCCTCAGAAACTTCTTTAATTATTATGTTTAACTTGATTTTGTTAATATTAACGATCATCTTAATCTAAAACCGAGCCATTTTTCCATTATAACTTTACTTCTATCGTTAATGTTTATAAAACCAACATCATTTCCTTAATTTAAATTTAATCAGATAGACAACTTAACAGAACAAGGAAAAATACCGATTGTGGTTGGTGGAACAAACTACTACATAGAATCAATAGTCTACAAAATCCTAGTTGAAAATATGGATGATGGTGAAACCTTACTTTGGGATAAATCGAGGCGAAAAAGGAATATGGGAATGGTAGAGAATGTTAAAGAAATAGAAGATAAACCACAACTACTAGAAGATGAGAACACAGAAAATGTCATGGATTCTGAAAGCAGAGAAGATCTCGTAAACTTAAAAAGTACTGAACGTCCGGTAGAAACTAAAAACGAAGATCTCGCAGAACATAAAAGCGCAGAAGAATTTACAGATTTATCAGGCATTAAAAGCACAGAAGAAGTGTCAAAACTTAGAAATACAGAAGATCTTGAAGAAAATATTGAAGAACCATCAACATCTGCTCCAGTCAAAATAGATTTTTCCAACTTCCAAATAACCAAAGAACAATTGCAAAGAGATTATGAGAATGAAGCTATTTTTACAAATGAAGAGATTCATGCTAAGTTGTCTGTGATAGACCGACAGATGGCGCGCCGGTTACATCCTAATAATAGAAGAAAAGTTCTGAGGTAAGTGATAGTTTCTATTATATTTTGTTTGAGTTTTTATTCATCGGTTGTTTTCACTATATTCAATTATATTAATAGTTAGGAAAAACATAGAAACTATTCATTGTAAAAGCCTCAACAAATTCATCATCTAATAAATCAAAAAAAGTTTAATTCATTTAAAAGCTTGCTAAAACAATATATATTATTTCCAATTTTTCTAATACTGTTAATTTAACATGACATATTTATTTGTTTTTATAATATTTCAGCGTCTAGCCAATTTGTTTTCGCTATCACTAAACGATTTAAAAATAAATCATTCAACTACTTTGTCCATTCAAAAACAACGGAACGGCGCGACGCAAACAAACTGACGCGACTGGTTTTTATGAATGAATCCATCCAATATTTTGCTAGGCGACTATCAATTACTCATTACCAATTTTAATAATAACCTTTACCATTCAATTGTAACCCTTATCACGTTGTCTTAAGACACTAAACGATAGCAAATCTATTTTTCTAAAATATGTTTTATCAACTTTATCAAGTAATGCCAAAGTTCAGGCACACTGTGTCAAATTGATCAATCTGGTCCTTGACTGGTTGTATGTTATCTTAGACCTTGTATCGTCATAATAAGACTCACATTGGTAAATCACAACCGTGTGACGATTGATTTAAGTACAACACGTTTCTTTATTATTATGTGAGATTTTAATGTCGTGGGATATTCTTGGATCATACAAATTTGTATTCTAACACTTATAATTTAGTGTTCAAATAGATATGTCATAGGCCAGGATGAGAGTAACGATTCGGCAGTTGTATCTGAGCAGCGCCTTCAACAATATAAAACACGAAATCAGTAAAATATACAATTCTTGAAGTAAAATATTTATTTAACTGTTAAAATATTTGCTCGACATACTTCCTTTTAAATGGTTACGTGTATTTTTTATTAATTAATTTAAATTTATGTACAGATGTTAACAGACCAATCGATAGAATTTTCTGGAAAATTTTCATGTCCACTGCTGTGGGCTACGAACATTTGTTTTTACATATTTACTGTTCTGTTTTTGCAATATTTCGTCGACAACAATCAATCTACATGAACTGTCCCTTTCTAGGAATAAATTACAATGAATTTTTATACGAATTCTATAGTTAACAGCCTTGAACGAATAATCAATTTTATTCTCTTTTTATTGCTATAGATAGTCGGTTTCCTATGTTTAATGTTTTATGAAGATATCTCGTTCGACCTCATCAACCTCTTATGCTTCCTGTTGCTCAATTATTGTGTTCTTGGTGTTTCTTTGATTGGCTCAGAAGGGGCTCTTTTGTATCTTCAAAATCATGCTCTGTAATAGCTGTATTATTGATTGCTTCTTTTCTGTCGCATTCGTTCGTTACTTGATTTATTATCAATACTGCCATTATTGTCTACTTTTGTAACTTTAGCTTTGTTAGGATTATAAATATTGTTCTAAGGTTGAAAATTTGCGTCACAATCCTCCCACTAAGTGTTCATTCAGTGTAGGAAGAGTAATAAACTTAAGCTCCATCTTATTTATGAATAATTTCATAATGTCTATTCTAAGACAACGAGTCACATTCAAATTAAAGTTATTTAATTCACGATGTCACTTTTAATATTAATAACTCCTTTTTCGATGTCCATCAACTTGAATCATTCGTATAGTTTCAACCTCCATAGAGTCCGTTACATCGAGGAGTACAAGTCCAAAGTTTGATGCTAAATGCTTCCTTCGCATATCGCACAAGGCGTACTAAGATATGAAATATTGCCGGTTTTGAAAAAAAAACACTTCCCCCTAACAACAGCGTTGCGAAACTTGTTCACGCGGTTTACATAAATATAGGAATTGAAGGCCGCATGACATGATGACATAAAACCTTTGAACCAGTCAGCCTGACCTCCATCCATGACCAAAATGTACGTCAAAAAGGGGGAAGTGTATTAACGGCGGTAGCTCAACTAACGTTAGACGTAACAACTTCCGTAGGTCTTTAACCGCTGCCAAGGATTTCATAGACGTTTGCGAATGTGTGAGTGCAACCTTGGTTCTACTACCCGTTGGTAGAGTGGCCATGCTCGCGCCAGTAATTCGCGGATTGGGTCGTGGCGATTGTATGTAGGTCGATAGAATTGGCTCGTTTGTTGGAACAAGTGATCGGATATTATGAACGTAGTATTTATATAATATTGTGACGTATTACTCTATATTTGATGATATTCGAATTGTAAATATTTGATGATCTTATATCTGTTACTACGCGTCTCGTAGTATTTAAATTAATTTGTTGTATTAAGACATTTTCAACACGGTAATTTATTTTATCCGAAGTATATTTTTATTCCTTATCAAATTGGTTTCTTTTTAAAGATTTTTTGCAAACTCATAAACGAATGTTAGATCAACGACAATGTTTTACCTAAATCAGAACAAATTATTTAGCTTTATTCCTATTCCAGGTCAGTAAACCACTCATTACTTTCAATGTTAGCGTCGATATTTGTAAACAAAAACAAACGTAGCGGGTATTCAATAAACAGTCCAGTGTATCTAGTGTGAGGGATCATGGTCACCCTACTGTGTATCGCGAATAAGGCCCCGTGATAACCCCGAATAACTTATCATGTGATTATTATACATTCGGCAATACAGACGTGCGACTGATGTTTAAAATGGAAAATTATCATAAGTATATTCGATCGGACTTTGGAATTTTTCGATTTTTTTTTACGATTGTGTTGGTACTATTTGAAGTGCAAACTTTTAAGCACCTACTGAAAAGATTGTTGCTTATTAATTGGACCTTTGTTTTTTTATAGTATAAGCCGGTAAACGAGCAGACGGATCACCTGATGGTAAGCAATCGGCGCCGCCCATGGACACTCGAAACACCAAGGCGTTACAAGTGCGTTACCGGCCTTTTGGGAATTGGGAATTTGAGGATTGTGGAGGATTCAGGGATTCGGGAGGCTGGGACTAGGGAGGGGGGGTAATTGGGCCTCCGGTAACCTCACTCACACGACGAAACATACCGCAAGCGTTGTTTCACGTCGGTTTTCTGTGAAGCCGTGGTATCACTCCGGCCGAGCCGGCCCATTCGTGCCGAAGCATGGCTCTCCCACACTTGTTTCTCGATTAATTCCTTTCTCTTTTGTCTCACTGTATAAGAATGAATTCTTTTATAATAACGTCGTCATTTTAATAGTTTTAGATAAGATCATACTATTTAGTAAGTTATCATTAAGTGGCGCCAAAGTGTTTCGTTTCGCTGAATATCAGCGAACTAGGTAAGGCGTTCGGAAGCGCTTACTAAATAGGTTAATAACAAGACGTCTATAGGTTACACAGGTATATATTTTTGTTTAGGAATTAATTTACAAATAAAGATAAATAAAATTGGCGAGTCTATTTGTAATATTAAAATAATAGCTTTTTACTACATACATATGATACACATACCAAAATCTGTTTTTTTACAATTTTTTACTGCCTCGTTGGCCGAGTGCTCTCAAGACTGCCGGACAAGGGGTCTCGGTTTCGATTCCCTGGTCGGGCAAAGTATTACTGGGTTTAAAAAAATTCTCAGTAGTAGCACGGAGTCTGGAAATGTGCCCGGTATATGGCAATAGGCTTACCCCCTATTACATGGGACTCATAGTCATAACATAAATAATGAAAAGTGGGTGTTAGTTCTGTGTACCTACCCCTTCGGGAATAAAAAGCGCGATGTTGTGTTGTGTGTTCATTCAAAAGGAGTTCAGTAATCGATGAATTGACGATGATTGTCCACCATCACTATTGTGTTCTCACCATCAGATGGATAGCTCAATTGATATAAAAACTCTATTCCAAATCATGAACACAAAAACTATAAAAAACCTTTGAGAGCATTGTACCTATCAACCTATGAGATGTCTGTATCACACTATACGAACACCAATTAAAGTTTATAAATAGATTATATTACGTAGTTTATATATTATTTATTTAAACTATATAATTATATAGTTTATAGTTACATTAGTTTAATGCTAACTGCGTTCACGCAATTATTTTATCAAACACTTACTTAAATGAGTCTTTAGAGATGAATTTTGAATATTTAATGTCGTTGTAGTACGATGAACTACAAGCCTAATTAATGAATGATGTTAAACTGGAGATGCTGAAAGGAAATTGTGTGATATACGTGTAATCCTTACTTATATTATAAATCGGAAAGCGAGTTTGTTTGTTTGTTCCACTTTAACGCTGTAACTACTAAACCGATTGCTTTGAATTTGCAGACGTAAAGTTAGAAGTCCCGTTTAAATAATAGGGTACTTTTTATCCCGGATAAATTTGATATTCCCGAGGGAAAACAAAAGTATTGGTATAGATGGCGCTGTGTATATTGTTATATGTCACATAGGTTACTTTTTATCCTTTTGTGACGCGAGTGAAGCTGCGGATAAAAGCTAGTTATTAATATTTTAAACTTTGTCACTGATTATATATTTTGTCTCTCTTCAACACCCTGAGGTTGACTGTTAGAGAATACCACTAGGCTAAGTCTACCGTTGTATATTATAGAAAAGTGTATAACACATAACGTCACGCTTTTTATCCCCGAAGGTGGCAGAGGTGGTAGGCAGAGGTGCACACTACGGCACTTAATGCCACTGTACAATGTAAAACCCACTTTTCACTATTTATTATATGAGTCCCATGTAATAGGGGGTGAGGCTATTGCCATCTATACACCGGGCACAATTCTAGCCTCCGTGCTACAACTGAAATTAAAAAAAAACTCAGTAATACTGTGCCCGACCTGGGTATCGAACCCGAGACCCCTTGCCCGGCAGTCGCACTTGCGACCACTCGGCCAACGAGGCAGTCAACAAGACTATCAATCACATATTTTCCAAAGATTTTCCGATATACCCCAGTACTATTTCGTCGTATAATTTTTCCATACTAATACACTTATGCTTACACAAAAACTAGGTTACTTACACTATTATTCCGCCCTATACGGCCATATATCCTGACTTTATGAACGGCTTTATATGTCATGCGAATAGGCGGATTTTTCTGACTATAATTATATGTATGTATAAGTGTGACGTCACTGTTGCTACGCGCCCTACAATGATGTAGATAGCTTATGGGGTGGATCCCCTTGTGACGCTGTATTGTGCGGAACAAAATGAGTAAGTCGTTGACCTAAAAATATCTTGAATTATAAGTAGG